AAGCAACTAGACGTTGGCTTGCCCGACTCCCGAAAGTCGCGGCGCATTAACAGTCGTGACTTCAACGGGAAGGTACTGGTTTAATTGAAACTACAAATATACCTCATTCAATTGAATATGTCTAATTCAGGCAGAATAATTTGATTGAACATTTTGGTGCAAGGAATATGAGTGCGAACGATATACAGAAAACGAAGTTGCGAAATCACACAGATGTCCAGATAGTCGTATCCAAGCAGAGTGTACAAAATGCACCGAGAAACCATCCATATAGAGCAATACAATGAAGTAATGAGCCAATGTTCAAGCCCGTAGGCCACACCAACGCAGTATCCAAAGTCGCTCCTCTCTGTCTGGCGTCCAGCGCCCAACCTACTCTGCCCGACTATCCTACCTACGGCTGGTTCACGGAACTGGCTCACTTCGACTCTCAAAGACCAATGTACATGGCTGTCAACTCCATAGCCGACCTCTCTTCATGCACTAGGTACATATCTCGTCACCCTCAATCAGACCTTGATTACCCCACACTACGCCTCCTTCCGTGAAGACCACCAGATCACCTGTTGTACCTCATGGTGCCCAGCAGCCGGACTATGGCCGCCTGCACCCCGCTTGCCCTGCAGTGCCCCACTTCACCACTACGCGCTCCGTTAGCGCCCTTGGCAGCAGCGCAACATCAAGCAATAGCGCAGCAGCACTTCCACATTGCTTGCACTGGGCAGAACGCCTGGCCTGGGTTGCCTCACTTCTTTTATGGAAGTGGCAGCCTCTTGGATGCTGCGTGTGGCCTGGCTGGAAGCTTCCAGTAGCTTCCGGTTGGGCCTCAGACCGTGCGCCCCGGCCCGAGACTACAGTTGAGGGCCTGGGCCCTTTTTAGTTGGGCACGGCCTGAGTCTCCGGACTTGGGCTGTTTGCTGCATCTGTGTAGGGCTCCTAGGCAGGTGCGTCGGCGGTACTGCTTTTGCAAAGGTCGACAACCTTCGTCCCAATGTATTGGCCCTGCTTTGTGTGTATGTGCCCAGGTGCAACTGTCAAGGCCTGGGCCAACTGTCTGACGCAACTTTGTGAGGCTCACGCGTCTACGCAACCAACTGGCGTGCTGTGAGAGCCTGAATACCCACATATGGAAATGTCGAATTTTGCCTCTGACGAATATTCAAGGCCGCCTTCACTAAGGGCGGGCACTCGGCTTGCTGGGGGCCTTAGCCCAGATCATGTGATGTTTGATAGGGCCGCTTGAGGGTTTGTTCCTCGCATTCCATCCCCCTTAGCTTTGAAAGTTTGCTGAGATGCTTCATGCTGGTGCCTTCCCCTTCAGTTTCTTCTCATAATCTGTCGCGATATGAGGAGTTGTTTTGAAATCCATCAATCTTCCTTCGGATCAGTATGATGCTTGAAATGTACTTTGTACTCCTTTGCAGGTTTAGGTCTTCCCTTGCGAGGTGGCTTGGGAATAGGTGTGTCTCTGTGATTCAGGATGTCGACGACGTCCACGTGGCCATCCATGGTTGGGGGCAGTATAGATCTCCGTGATGGGAACTGCGCTGTCTCAGCAAAGGGTGCAAGCTTGGAGGCGTGAAAAACAGGGTAAGTGTGTAGGTGACCAGGGATACGAATGACGTACGAGGGACCATCCAAATCATTCCCCACAATGTCTAAGGCTTCCCAGGGATTGAAATAGTGGGGCATTAGTTTCCTAGAGATGCCAAACTTTTGTCCCAACTCACTAGCCTTGACTCAGACACGTTCCCCTACCTGAAATGTGGACTGTCGACGATGCTTGTTCTCAGAAGCAATCATAGCTTCCTGAGATTTCTTGATGTGTTCGACAGTCTGCTGCAACAGTTTCGCATAATGGACACCAAATTCAATGGTTCCAGGAGTTGCAATTGTTCGGTTTTCCGGCAGGAGGAAGTCTAGAGAAGATCTAGGCTTCCATCCCAGATGCAGTTGATTAGGACTGACGCCGGTGGTGATGTGTACAACATTGTTGTACAGACTGGCGATGAGAGGTAATTTCTCATCCCAGTCATCCTGGCTGGGCTTAATGTAATGCCTCAGCAAATGCTGCACCACACGGTTCATCTGTTCAACCTGCCCATTTGCTTCAGGATGATTCCTAGAAGTCATCTGCAGCTGGCTGCGCATCTGTTCAGCGGCCTTCTTCCACATCGCGCTTGTGAAGCGCACATCTCTATCACTAACGATTATCTTTGGCAGTCCAAAATCACGCACCCAGTTATCCATGAATAACTTGATAACATGTTCAGTGCTGGCGGTCTCCGACATGGCAATTCGTCTAGCATACTTAGTGAACCTATCAACTATGACAAAGATGTGCCTCTTGCCATTCTTGCTGGTCACGAGAGTATCCATGAAGTGCATGGAGATACTCTGCCCTGGGCCAGCAGGAATGGGTAGAGGCTTCAGTAGCCCAAGCGGAGCTCGAGTCCGCGGCTTGTCTCGCTGACAGACCTGACAGGTCTGTACATACTTCTTTGCATCGTCCAGGATGTTAGGCCACCAAAATCGCTGTACTAAGTTAGCACTAGTCTTCTTGTAGCCGAAATGTCCCGTTGCGTTGTGGCACTCACCTAAAAATAAACTACGCAAAACCTCCCTAAATGGAACAACTAACCTTTTGAACCCTGCCTTTTCAAGAAAGAGTAACCCATCCACCATCACAAACTCGTCAGTGGTGGCCTTGTCTTTGGCCTGCAGTTTGTTGATGATGTCCATCGTGATGGCATCTTCCTTGTAGGCTTCCCCCAAAGATCGAGTCATGTCCTCAGATAAGCCAAACTCATAAATCAGCGCACCCAGGTAATCTGCCCTTCAAGACAACGCATGTGCAACCTTGTTGTACTCTTATTTCACATAGTATGACTTCAATCCAGCGTTTGAGTGCATCGGAGAGAACGGGTTGTGTCTTGATCCACTTGAGGGTTTGATGGTCAGTTCTCAAGTAGAAGAACCTTCCTAACAGATAGTGCCTCCAGTGGACAAGTGCCTTGTAGAGAGCATAGAGTTCCCTCTTGCAGGTGGACTTTGCCAACTTCTTTGATGGCATCTTTTTGCTCATGTACTCGATCGGTCTCAACTTTTCCCTTCCTGCTGAGCCAACATTGCGCCAATACCGTATTGGCTTGCGTCAACAAATGGCCTTTGCGGGTCGGGTACCATGAGGACCTCATGGTGTGTGAGAACATGCTTCAAACGCTTGAACTCGTTGGTCCAGTCCCATGGTGTGTCAAGTCAAGTCAGATCAGTCAAGGGAGATGCGATCATACTATACTTCTTTACGAAGTTGCGGTAAACCACGCATTCCCAAGAATGACCTGGCCTTGGTCACAGATTGGTGTTGTGGCCAGTCACTTATGCCAGCCACCTTTGCATCTTCGGGTCTAATCCCATCCGCGGATACTTCATGACCCAAGTACAAGATTCGAGTGCGACCGAACTCGCATTTCTCTAGGTTTATCTTATACTTGCTCTGCCGAAGGAGTGAAAGTACCTTGTCTACATGTTGAGCATGTTCCTCAACAATCTTACTAAAGATAAGTATGTCGTCCAGGTACACGGCAACAAACTTATCCAAGTAGTTATGGAAGATCCTATTCATGGCATGCTGGAATGTACGCGGCGCATCGCAAAGGCCAAAGGGCATCACCATAAACTCGTACAGACCGTACCTGGTCTGAAATGCGGTTTTGTGTTGGTCCTCTGGTCTTATGGCAATCTGATGGTAGCCAAATTTCAAGTCTATCTTGGTATAGTACTTACACCCCTACACCCCATCCAATAGGTCGTCGATGCGTGGTAGAGGCTCTGCGTTCTTAACGGTGATGGCATTGAGGCCTCTATAATCAATGCAAATCCTTAGTGTCCCCCCTTTCGTTGGAACAAATAAAACTGGTGAGCCAAAGGGGGAGGTGCTAGGCCGAATCCACCCCTTCTTTGTGAACTCTTTCAGTTGTCGTTGAAGCTCGTCCAAATCGGCCGGAGCCATCCTATAGATTCTCCCCTTAGGTGTCTTGCTACCTGGGATGATCTCTATGGCATGGACAACCTCCTTGTCTACGACTCCTGTAGGCTCCTCAAAGAGATCAGGGTACCTAGCGACGATGGTCTCTGTTTCTGGGGTTGTTTTAACGGCCTCCCTTTTTGCAAAGACATAAACTAAGGACATACCTTCCTCTTGGTTCTGTTTATAATAGTTATAGAAGGCTGATGCACATAAGCACCCATAAGAGTCTATTAACCTACTGGCTTTATATTTAGCCAGTCTAACGGTCCTCCCATTAGGCAACTCGTGCTTCAACACCTTCTTGTCCCAGTCAAACTGGGGCTTGGCAACCTCGAGGTAGTACATGCCCAACAACATGTCAAAGGCCAGTTCGTCGCTCACCAGGAATGATATCTTGTGATTTAACTCTCCTCCTGGGTAGGAGAAAGTGCAGACTAAATCTTTAACGTAGTCCTCCACCATCATGCGCTTTTTGTTGGCCATACTAAGGTGTTGCACCTGGCCCTCTAGGAGTAGTCTCTCAACGCAGTCGCGACTTGTGAAGTTTCACGTGGAGCCAATGTCTACGAAGGCGCCACACTTGCCACCACCCACACCAACTTCCACAACGAAGTGCTCCCCTCGAGTACCTCTACTTAGTGCCACCCAGGACTTACGAGGGTCCCTTGCCGACCACTCACCTTGGCTTCGGACACATCCAACGTACAAAGCATAGTTGGGTCCGGATGCATATGCGGGGTGACTAAGGAGTCAATAGCTTCGGCTAACTCTTGAAACGGGGAGGGTACATCACCCGCTTCAACGATAGTAGAAGCAACTACAATTTCTACCGGCCCTAGGTGTTTCCCGAGCTGGAGTTTGTAGAGGCCCCAGACTGAGAAGAACGATACCCACCCTTAGGAGAGATCTTCTGCAAGACCTTCGGGTTCTTGTACTTAAACTGCGTATGGTCGTACTCGCCGCAGTTTATGCAAGCACCACGCGACCAACGGTCTCGCCACACATCCTGATCCAAACCATCCCTAACCCAAGCAGCTATTTTGTTTGGGTTGGCGGTATGTCCCAGACTCCTTTGTTGATCGCCCTTCCCGCGGCCAACTGCCTTAGTCTTAACCGCAATGGCGAGGTTGCTACCCTCAACAATCTCCTCCCCGTCTAACTTTGTTCCCTCCACAAGCTCAGAAACATCGTCGATTTCAGTTTGATTCCCTTCGGAATCAACCATCATCAATCGACTACGCTTCTTCTTCCATTCCTGTGGAGTCTTCTTCTTTCTTCCGTCCGTAGAAGGGGTTTGAGCCTTACCCAACGTAGCCTCTAAGTCTAGCTCCTTTTTACTGAATGTCTCAAAGGTGTGATACTCTAGGCGAGCCTCGCTGGCCAGTAAGTTCTTGATGTCTGTGGGAAGACATCTTAAGAATGTGGTCGATAAGACGTGTGGATTGTACCACTCCTGGGACGACAATCAGGCGCTCTACAGTAGTGGTAAGCTCTCGCACTGACTTGTACTTTCTAGCATCAAGCTTTAGAAGCCGATCAGTGGTAATTTGTGCCTGCTGAGGGTTGTGCCATTGAGCCTCCACTAACTCCATAAAGCTCTGTAGGGTGTGGGTTTGTGCCCAATCACCTATGTTCCTGCCGAAACCCTTTCGAGCTACCAATCCATTCAGCCAGTGAGCTGCTGAACCCTCTTAAGTAGGATGCAGCAGTTATCACTTCCTCTTTTACCAATGTCCTCTTTGCCCTTACCCACACTGAAACCGTTCTCAACCACGTGTTGAGAGCCTTGTCCTTCTTGTCTCCTGAGAAGGCTGGAGGTGGTTTCAGGGGGGTCTTGGCGTACCAAGGTAATTGCTGTCTTGCTGGCGGGACATGTGGCGATTGTGGTGTAGCTCCAGTCGCTGGACCGGAAGATGAAGAAGCAACAGTCTAAGATAGGTTTGTTGCTGATGCACCACTTGGTGATGGTCCGGACTGAGCGGCATAGGGGCCTATCATCACTGAGAATGGCAGCGATGGCAAGACTGCTGGCCTGATTCCTGGCCTGTGCATGGCGTTCAGGATCTGGTCCAAGGTGTCCTGGATTGTATTCAGTTTACTGTCCATGTATGCGTGCATGGACAGGATGCTCGCCTTAAAAATCTTTTCATTATTGCTAAGGGCCAAGTCATCTTGCCCCTATAGTGCAGCCTTGTCTGCCTCCCTACCCTCTAGTCTGACACTCCTGTCTCTAATCTCTTTCTCTCTTTTAGTAGCCTGTTTGAGTTCCTCCTCTAGCCTCAAGCGAATCCTTTCCACCAGCTGGAGCTCCCATGTGCTCCCGGGTGCGTGGAGGCTGCGAGCTGAACTGCGAACCCGCCATTTGACTAGTGCCATCTCCTGACGTATTGGAGATGGACTGTGAACTGGTCACGTTGAGTGGCATACCCAAACTCTTGACCAGTAGAGTTTGCAGCAGAGGTGGTTGAAGAGGTAGCCATTGCTACCGCACTAGCTGCTGCTGCTGCCAACGCTCGTTCAACTGCCGCTGCTGCCTCTCTCACAGTCTCTAGATTACGGATCCTTGCTTCGGCCCTAAGCCTTCTCTCGTCTCCTGGTAGTAGAACCTGGAACACAACGCGTATCCTACCGGTATCCCGTAGTGTTTGCGTCCTATCGTCAGATCTATCCTCCCCACCCTCTGATCCACTCATGGGCTAGGCGGACGTTGTTTGCACTAATGTCCTCTTTGGGACCTACCGCAACATACGTCTGACCGGTTCTAAAAATAAATAAAATAATCGATGTTCGGCGAGTTACCTAGACTACTAGTCAAGCGGCATCAACAGCACCTACACAAATTGTACACATGTAGTTCACCCCCTTCTTTGATTAGTTCTGCACAAAAGCTTTAAGAAGAACTAGCTATGGTAGAAGCTTTAAGAAGAACTGGCTATGGTAGATTACAGTCCTACTCTAGGATGTCTGTTAGGTGTTAGCAGTCTGTCAACCAACTAATCAAGATAAAAATAAACTACAATGAGCAGATGTATGCACAGTGGATAAGATAGAGATGTACAGTTGAGTTCTCAATTGGAATCCCCTTCCCCTGTATCCAACGTACCTGTGAGCATCATCAACCTGCGGTGTCTAAGGTGTGCAAGCACGGCCCACCCCTGTGCCCAAGAAGTATGCTTATGACCGGCCTGCCCTTTGTATCCCTGTGCCCAAGAAGTATGCTTATGACCGGCCTGCCCTTTGTTTACCCTCGCGTGCAACGAGCCTTACGTCTGACTGATCTGGCTGATCCCCCGAGAGTCCTCAGGAATTCTTTAACGTCGCAATCAGGACGACGATCACAGCCAGTGGACAGTTCGGACCCCAACCAGAAATGTTTATAGACGGTCTGGGAGCGTCTCCGTAGGACTGGTCAGTCCGCACACCCCTTCTATTAGCGCAGCAAAGAGCCTCAATGGACAAAGCAGCATGGCCTGCGTGTACTACTCCCATGGGTTGGCATGGTGACCGTGACCCGTGCTTCGACCAGGGCCCTTCAGAGGCACCACCCTCTCTTGCCAGATGCACCACCGGGAAGAATGTCGTCTCTCAAGATAGAGCGCACACAACTCCTTTCAAAAGAGAGGACACTCAATTTGGACTCACTTCTGCACGGTAAGAAGAGATTGAGAGGGTAGATAAGGAATGGGAACAACGTACCTGGAGGAAGCTGCCCCCAACCACAGATTTCTCACCAATTGGGCCGACGTGCATTTCGATGACCGGTCAATAGCCTCGGTAACACCCACAACGCAATGCAGTGCA